ACTTCGCCAGCCCAAAGGCGGGTTGACCACGGGTGACGTTGTCCACCAACTCAAGAACATCGTCAAACGATTCTTCCGCCGCAGGCTGGTAAGAGACCCAAAAGACTTGACTCCGTGCCAGAGCCGCCATGATCACATGGCCGTGGTAGAGGAAGAGAAGGGATGATCGTGGGGTCAGCCCCACAGGACAAAAAAGTGGGCGGTCGCTGGACCTTATATACCCCGAGGGTGGTCTGCAAAGACGGCCGCTCCCGCGTCATCCATCCAATCAACCGGTGGTGCTTCGCCTGCCTGTCTGTCTGTCCGGGATCCGACCCGGCCAAGTGTGGGGGCAAGGAAACTGGCGTAACCTGCCCTCATTGGACCCTCGTCCTCCCCCCTGTCGGATGCGCTGCTATGACTACCTGTGCTCTCCCCTGTCGCTCCGGTCTACTACTGCAGTGAATCACGTGCGTTCATCCTGCTCTATGGGGGTTTATAGGGGGCCTCTGCTCCATGGCCCAGTCTTTAGACACCTTTCACGCACGTGATTGAGTGTGGTACTAAATTGAAGCGACCGGGGGAAGCTCAATCGTACTAAGAGGCAGCCACACAGGGAGGGTGACGCCACGCACTCATTGGATAGTTTGCTGGCACAGCTTACATAGCCACTCCACTACTGGATGGGTTAGAAACCCGGACAGATGCTACAGACACTCGGAGAGGGATGGATAAAAAGGGAAGACCCCCCAGCGGAGCGACTGTCGGGCAGACTTGCTCTTCTTTTTCCACTTTTCCGGCAGCATCACGGAAGTGCATCGTTTTGTTTTTCGAAGAGGAAGGGACTTGATCCAGGGTAGGTATCCACCCCGGCACGGGACGAATAATACTCGGAGGAACTTGCTTAGGAAAGCAATAGCGTCAGTCAGCTGACTACGCGCACTCGTTACCGCGGAGACGCGGCGCAGACACAGCGACCACGCTTGGGGACAACGCCACCCGGGCAAGTGGATCTTGCTTTTTCCTCGTGGGACAGACGAAGTGACCGCCATCGATCCGGGAGCGACTCTTCGGACAGCGCGCATCACTCTTGGCAATCATGGAGCATGACGCAGGACTTCGTCAGCCTGATTTCTCCACCGCGGCAGGTGCCCTGAGGCTGGCAGCAGAACATCTGGAGCTCTGCGACAATCTTCCCGCGGTGGACGGCGGTGCTCGTCTGGCGCAAAGGATGGATGCTGTTTTGGAACAGCTCACCATGCTAAACCGGAAGGTCGACGGCATAGATCGCCGGATGGACGTCTTGGATCGCAAGGTCACGGTGTCGTCAGTTGAGCCGTGTTTCCTCTCTTTTCGGCATCGGTTGCTGACAACTCCCTTTTTACAGAAACCGCAACGCGGTGGTGCGGGCGCGGAATGCCACAGTCGTGCGCGGAGATATGGACCTGGTGCCTTTGCACAGCGTCCTGACGGGCGAAGTGATTGAGGGTTTCCCTGACAATGTCAACCAGTTGGAGAGATTGCATGGTGGGTGATCTCCCGAACCTGGAACTCCTTACGCTGACACGTCTATTCCTCGACGATAGTACGGGACGTCGATCAACTGTTACGCCACATGGGGGAATCCACCGCCGGCTCGGCAGCGGAGAAGAAGAGGAACCTGAAGTTTGCCACCGGGCTGGTCACACGGGAGCTGTGACGGCTTTCCTTCCCCTTTTCGTGCATCCCTTCCCTTTTCTCAGCAGCGTCGGCGTTCAGGAGGACTTACTGTATCGGTATATCGCGATACCTTCATATTGCCAAATTGTTTGTATGGGACAAAACGAGCATCTTTTAACCGCATGGAGCTTAACCCCGAGCGAGGGTACCGTGACTGTAATCACCCGGCTACCAATAGACATAATGCAAGCACTTGTCCCTTTACCGCCCATTTAAACCGTTTACAAAGTAGACCCCAATCCGTTTACAAGTATTCCCAACCCGTTTACAAGATCATCACCTTCAAGCAATCCACCCTGAGCATCAGCCCCGCAGGGCATTTCACGACTACGGAATCAACCCCCCCGAAGGGGGGTGCGGACACGCCGAAGGTGTGGACGTGAGGAGCCACACTGACATCTCTTCAACTGAGTACAGCGTTCACAAGGAGTAGTACCCAGGAAGGAGGAGCAATTGTCCCCGAAGGGCACGCGACGGACACACAATACACGCACACAGCAACAGACACCAGTCACTCGCACAGACGGAAGGTACACTCCACCACACAAACAGACCGAGCAGCTACATCCAACACTCTCCGTTGGGCCCGCGACTGGAAGGAGCCCTTCGACCGGAGGAGCCCTTGGACGACGGGACGGAGGAAAGGTACGAGCCTGGAGGGCGAAGTTACTGTGGGTGACGGAGTCACTCACTGCATGTGCCCCCTATTACTTAAGTTTGGTTTATAGGGGGCCATGGCACAACGGCCCAGCCCATAGACAGGTTGCTTTAGCTTCCATGTAGTCGTTAGCAGTTGCGTACGGGACGGGAGGAACTAGGTTGGTAAGAGGGACTTGACGGAGGAAAGGACCACGTCACATGAGGCAGCTGGTGTCCACTTGCATGCCGGGGTCAGGTTACGTACAGTTTCCATGACCTTCCATACGGGAAGGGTGCAGAAACCCGGACAGATCTTGTTTGCTTGTTTGGTGTGTACAAGCGGGTTGAACGGAGTATATGAAGGGCACGGGTGCCCGCCACTTTGACACTGGAACCTAGGACGGTTCTACTCTCCTCCTTCCCATTTCTTCAACCGGGTCAGGTTGACTTCGTCTTGTCGGACAAGGTATGATGAACAAGTATCTTGGAGCTAGAGTGACGGTGATTCCACCCATTGGCTCGGCAGCAGACAAGCATCGGGTTGAACTACCCACGAGAAGTGGTAACGGAGTGATCCATCACTTGCGTGATCTTGTACCCCTCCACATGTGCATGTGGTACACCCTCCGACGAGAGGCTATGTCTTGTTGACGGCGCGCGGTAGTCGCTTCATCGCTCTTCTTTCCAGGCGGAACGGGGGATGTTTTTACATCCTGTAGAGACACGAGGGCTGAGTCCCGAGTCTGTCCACTCTCGGGTTCTGCTTTCCCGGTGATGCCACACGGCAGGGTTTATCTGATGGAGAAAGAAGCGATGGCAGCGCTACAGTCACGAGATCGGCTGGAGGATCTGATGAGGAAGTATTACACAGTTTGGGAGTGAAACCGTCCCTTGGAATTTCGCTGAAAAGCGCACGGACTCTTTTCTGTTCTTTACGAGGTGGTAAAGCCTATCTCATTCTGCCACCCGGTGGGCAAGGCTCCGCCCTCACAGACACATGGTGGACAATGCTTCGAAAGCTGTCGGAACAGGACCGGGACGACAGTCACTTCCGCCACGGGAACCGGAGACAATTCCAGGGGGTTTGGCCACCTTTCCATGCAGCAGCTTGAGGCTGCCTTCTGCCTTTCTGCTTCTTTGTACACGCCGCGGTGGAGCCAGGGTACAGACACTGGGAGACGAGATGAAGTCGGTCGGCTTGGTGAAAACTGACTGCGTTGAGGTATGATTTCTATTTGGAGCAATGTGGTTATGTTGAAGCGGAAGCGAAGGCTCGACGGCGTAGAATAGGGTTCAAGTGGGCTTTTGTGGGCGAAAGCGAAGCATGATTTGTAGAGAGTACAGACTTCATAGAAAGGTGGAGGACGATCGCATGGTAGACACCCCACTTGCCTAATACAGCTGTCACGATGGCTTCACTCGACACGGCCACTAGACTCTAAAATCGTTTACAAGTAGATCAACAAAGATAGTGTACTCACCCTACGTTTACAAGGTCAAACCCTGACTCTCTCTGCACTGAGCTTAAGCCCCGCAGGGCATTTCATCACTATGGACAGAACACCCGAAGGGTGTGCGACGAGGCCGAAGGTCGAGGCGTGGATGTCACACTTACGAGTCTTCAATCGAGCAACTACGTTCACAAGAAAGTAGTACCCCGTCAAGAGGAGCACGTGTCCGACGGGCACGCGACGGACAACACACAAGAGCACAGTCCAGGCAGGGCTGACCGAGCGAATGCAATGAGCAAGGGAATGGTGAGAACAAGACGGGAGTCTTGACTGACTGAGCGAGTGAATACGAGCAAAGGAACTGTGACGGGAGGAACGAACACACAGATCAAGTACACGGCACGTACGAAACACACACAAACAAAACCCGTTGGGCCCGCGACTGGAAGGAGCACTGTCTGAGCGGAGCGAGTTTTGAACGACTGGAGGGAGTCAATGGTACACGACAGGAAGGAGTGGACTGTAGGGGAGACGGATGTCGACTCTACCCCCGGGCCCCCTATATCCTTAAGTTTGGTTTATAGGGGGCCATGGCACAACGGCCCAGCCCATAGAGCAGCTTGAACGCACGTGATTGCATGCGGTACTAGACGTATCGGACAGGCAGGGAGATACGTAGTCGTAAGGACCAATCAACCGGAGGGAAGAGGGTACGTCACAAGGTGTGGGTTGCGCAGCTTCCACACACCCACCCAGAATCGGAAGGGGGGGGGGAACCCGGACGCAGGTGGGGACCACAGACGGGACGGAGTATAAAGGTCGTGGACCGCCCACCACCAGTTCCATCATGTTCCTGGGTTGCCGACGCCACCCACACCGCACGTGACAGCGTCACCGCCTGAGGGCATGGAGACGAGGGGTTTCTTTGCTCAGAGCAAACTTGCACTTGTGCCTTCGCGGCCGCGTCGAAAGACGTATAGGACGCCGACCACTCCACGCGTTGATCGCAACTTCAGCCCTTGGGGCGACTTTATACGTGCCTTGCACGGGTGGTGTCACCTCCCTCGTTTCCTTCCCCACGTCCCGTCGGGACCTGCTGAGAAGCCTTGGCCACAGCTGCTCGTTCAACCGGGTTGGTTGATTTTGTACGCCATAAGGAAGTCGAAGACGGATCAACAGTCCGAAGGATAACCTGTCGGAAGACACACAGGCATGGCCCTGAGCGCTGAACGGATCTTTGCGGCAACTTCTCGCAAGTCCCTTCGCGTACACTGCCCCATGAAACTGGCCGCCAGTGGCATTTACGGTTACTTACGAAGCCGAGCGTGTGACTCGGAAGAGAATCCCGTCTTCGACGTGGACAGGCTCTGGTCCGTCGATGCTCTTTGCATCAAGGCAGGAAGCCCTTGTATGGTGGTTGTCTACTTCCTTCATGACACCGCCGAGCACATGGACAGCTGTTGGAAACAGTTGGAGGCGTCTCTGGCCGTCGACGCCGACGTTTACCGCTTTGCCCCCGGTGACGCAGGCGGGGCTGGTCATTCCGCTGCATTCTTGTTCAGCCACCTCTCACCATTGGTGGGACCTATGACCTACCGAGAGGTTCAATTGGCTGTCGAGCATTACCTTGGCTGGTGCTCCAAGTTGGACAGGAACATTCCCCGCTGGAAGAGTGCGCAGCGGATGACGGTGGAGCTTATTCCCCCGTCGAAGAGGACTGGGTGGTTCAAGGCCAGGGAAAAAGGGTTTTCAGACCGTGTTGACAAAGGTTTCGGCATCGGATGGGGGTTTCCCTGCATCCCTCCTTGCAAATGAGAAGTGATGGACTTGATAACGGACACAGTTCCGGACGTGATGGACCTGCTGACGGACACATCGACTGACGTGGCATCGAACCCCCTCATCGGCGAAGAGCAGGGTGAGAGTAAAGGACGCACTCCACTTAATAATGTGTCCAGTCACAGTGAGGATATACCGATAGAGTATGAATAATGACTGGGATCAAACAGTCAACCGTTGACAAGTATGCAAAACAGCCTTAGTATTTGTCTTCATACGTTTACAAGAGAATCCATTGCAAGTACTCCACTCTGCGCATAAACCCCGTAGGATCCTTCATCGTTATGGTCAATACCTCCGAAGGAGGTGCGGACAGGCCGCAGGACTGGACGTGGAGACCACGCTCAAGAGACTTCAACTGAGTACATCGTTTACAAGAAAGTCCACTCGGCACAGGAGGAGTGGGCGTCTGAAAGGCGCACGACGGACATACAACCACTCCAACACCCGCTCAGTCCCTACTTAAGTCACTTCACCACCCGAGACACATACAAACAGTACCCGTTGGGCCACCCCGACCGGAGGGAGGTGCTTGAGCGGAGCGAGTCTTTGCACGACTGGAGGGAGTCAAAGGTACACGACAGGGAGGAGTGGACAGGTGAGCGGGACGCGAGCATGGTAGGAGTGCCGGAGGTCACTGCTACTCTGAGGCCCCCTATTACTTAAGTTTGGTTTATAGGGGGCCTCTGCTCCATGGCCCAGTCTTTAGACACCTTTCACGCACGTGATTGAGTGTAGTACTAAATTGAAGCGACCGGGGGAAGCTCAATCGTCATAAGCACCAATCAGAGGGACGAAGGATGGTACGTCACAAAGTGCTGGTTACGTAGTTTCCTTGCACCCCACACTTGGACGGGTGCTGCACCCGGACACAACAGACACCAGAGGTATAAAGAGGGGCCTCGCCCACACACAGGACACTGGATTGTTCTGCTTTCCACCTACACACTCAACCCAGCGGTTGACATTCGCTTGTCTAAGCACGGACACGATGGAATAGCACCCACGGATCTAGGAGAGTGGTCCACTCCTCCACTACGTGCACGCTGCGCGCTGCACTCGCTCTGTCATTCCCGGAGAGGGTATGTATTGGTATCCAGGCTGGATATGGACAGATTGGTTCTGTCCTTTTCAGGCGAACCGTGTTCGTCAAACGGCAAAGCAAAGCAGTACGTGACTGGGAAGGAACAGTCGGAATGAAGCGACAGGAGAAGCAAAAAGGGAAAAGGAGACGGGAAACAGGGGAGGTGATACCCTGCCGGCGGCCCTTTGGGTCCTCGGCTGCGCCTCGCTCGGAAGCCTTCTCGTGAGAAAGGGCTGGACAAGTGTCCACTGCACTCCCACTGCGCCCTGCACGGGCTCCGTTTACCGTTTGCTCCGGGAAAATTCTTGAACATGCGTTCAACACCGCAAGGGTGTCTCACTGACGGCGTCACCACGGACAGAGACCATGGAGTCGATCTCATGACGGATATTCTTTTGACCCGTGAGGGTTTCAAGGCAACGGCCCTTGTCGCACTTCTCTTTACGAGGCGGTAAAGGCTTCCTTGCTCGACTTACATTCGATATGCTTTGTCTATGTTCCGCGGAACGGTGAAGCGCGAAGCAGCGGAGGCTCTGGTCAATGACCGCTTGGACGCCCGGAGGGGCACGAGAGTCAAAGCCGCGGAGGACTGGATTGCCTTGGGGCGTACTCTTACGAAGTACTCGGTCATTGTTTGTACAACCCTCCCACCCAAGCACGGAGACACCCACCACGCAACAGATACATGCAGCAGCGCATTGGTCCGGCCATCGCATCTTTGACACCCCGCCTGCCTAAACCAGTGCTGGGATAGCTTCACTTCCTTGTGCACAGGTAGACTCAACCGTGCAGGATGAGCAACAAGCCCTTGGACATACATTGTAGACCAAGCAAGTGACGGCAAGAACGCAAGGAGTATAGTAGCAGTGCACGAAGATAATTGATTTGACCTGGATGAGGTCACCAGGCTACCGACTGATCCCTCACGGTGAAGTGATGTGGTGAACTTCTCCATGCGTTGACAAGAGAGCCACCCCACGTACTGTATCCCACTCACCCGGCTACGCATCAACACCCACGGACAAACATCGTAGACTCCACCCTCGTTTACAAGTATTCCCAATACGTTTACAAGTAGTAGTCACTGCCCCGGCTACAGACAACCATCTCCAATCCTTCCGAGATACGAACACAACCCCGAAGGGGGGTGCGCACGCGCCGTAGGGGCGGGTGTGGATGAGATACTCACGACTCTTCAATTGAGTGAGACGTTTACAAGAACATCGACACAAGACGAGCACTCTTGACGGAGCAAGCGTCCACCGGGCGCGCGATGGAACAAGACACACCACACATCTACACCTGCTCACACACACCCAGGTCACTCCGCCATACAAGCACACGGACAAAATACACACTGGGCCCGCGACGGGACGGAGCATGTCTGAGCGGAGCGAGTCTTTGCACGACTGGAGGAGTCAAAGGTACCGCAGCTGGAGGCGAGGATTGTGAGAGGACGGTCACTCGGACACCCAGGCCCCTATTACTTAAGTTTGGTTTATAGGGGGCCATGGCACAACGGCCCAGCCCATAGAGCAGCTTGAACGCACGTGATTGCATGCAGTCATAGAGCGAAAGTGACCAGCGGGAGGGAAGCTAGTACTAAGAGGCAGGGGGAGGGGACCGACCACGCCGCGTCCAATCACAGACAGTTTGCTGGCACAGCTTACATGGATGGATCCACTACTGGCCGGGTTGAGCACCCGGACACTCACACATACACGGAGTATAAAGAGGGGTGGCGCCCCGTCCAAATGAGTCCAGTGGACTTCACCTTTTTCTCTGCTTTATGCAGATGTGGAGCTCACCGCGAAGGGAGTTTGTCGTTACTTACTCAGACGCAGGAGCGTTGTCTATCCAATTCGGTGGATATCTCTAGCCAAGTACGAAGTCGACGGCTTGGCACAGAGTACCTTGGCCCTTCTTCGCATCAAGTGGTGCACTCAACTCGATTCCAGCAGAACGAGAACCTTCTCTTCTTTCGAAAATCCTTGAAGCCTGCGCAGTCATGTCGCAGTCGGCAGGCCGCCTCTCAGATCAGAACGTGGACGTCATTCGGGGATGAAGACCGGTGGTCGTCTATGTGTTGTGGATGGACGTTTACCCCGAGCAGTGGGTACGCATCCAAGGTTGCCTCGACTTTACTAAAGCGGGGCTGGAAGATGACCGGAACCGTTTAATGCTGTCGGATGACATGACCCGCCCGTTTGGCCAGCTCGAGAGAGAGCTGCACGAGGTACTGTGCACTGCCCTCTGTTGCTTTCCGGAGGAGGTACCCGTCTGGCCCTGGCTCATGGCATTACCGCACCAGCTGCGGCGGTTTTGTAGCCCCTACCCGAACGAGGCGGATCACAGCCTGGGCTGTTTGATTTCTGCGTACTGCCGGCATTACTCGAGTGACGCGGGGGAAGAGGGTCGAGAGCGTCGCCTCGTTGTCGACCAGGCCTTGAGTCGTGTCCGGGCGTGTCTTCTACAAGGCTATGCGCCGGAACAAGGAATTGTTCGTCGATGCTGTGATCATGCTCGGTGCATGAATCGTCTAGGGTTGACGAGTGTCACTGTTGAGCAGGCCGAGGGTTTATTGTGCGTGTATACCCACTGCACTTCTGCGGTCTTCGCCGCGGTGGTTGGTAGCACCGATGCACTGGAGTTGGTTCGAATTCGGTTTGACCGCCTTTGGGAGCGAGTGCACCATCTGCTGTTTACGGGGGAGGATGACCCTACTCTTGGTGCTGGCATCGCGACTAGACAATCTGCGTAGAGCACCACTTGACATCTTGTATCGCTGAGACGCTAGCCCTTTTGGGTGTTGGCGAAACCCTCATTCGTTTACGGAGACATTGGTATGGACTCAATAGACTCAATAGACTGAACGGGGTTTCATCTCTCTATACCACCGTGAATTGTTCCTGTACTCATACTTGTCCACGTAGGTTTCACCCACATAAAGCGTTTACAAGAACACCCAACACGTTCACAAGGCGATACCCCTTCCCGGCTACCACCCCTTTCTTCCAATCCCTTCATGGATACGAACACAACCCCCCCGAAGGGGGGTGCAGACGCGCCGAAGGGGCGGCTGTGGAGAGCCACGCTCACATCTCTTCAACCGAGCACATCGTTTACAAGCACACATGCACAGTCACGGGACGGAGGACCTGCGACCGAAGGGAGCAAAGGGACGAGACACGCACGCACCAGAACAACCAAAGTACCACTTCCACCCAACCCACATACAGACACTACCCGTTGGGCCACCCCGACCGGAGGGAGGTGCTTGAGCGGAGCGAGATCTGACGACTGGAGGGAAGTCAGAGGTACCGAGCAGGCGGCGAGGGACTAGTAAAGGGACGGAGTCACTTCTACTCTTGGGCCCCCTATATCCTTAAGTTTGGTTTATAGGGGGCCTCTGCTCCACGGCCCAACGTACTAGGTCGCTTACGTAGTTTGCAGACAGTCCATAGCGCGGATGTGATTGGAGAGAACGGAGCCGGTCATAACAGGGAGTGAGACGGGATGGATCACCCTGGTCAATCAGACAGGTTGCAACGCTTCCTGACTGCATCCACTACTGGCCGGGCGCAGAGCCCGGACACTTTCGCCGCTACGGAGTATTTAGAGGGGGGCAGCCCCGTCTCTTTTGGATCCAGGCATCCTCTTTTCTTTCTCTTCTTCGTACTGTCGGGACGACACTGCCAGAAGCCAAGTTGCTGTACACGTTGCACCTTACCATCTTGCTTTCTTGAAGCAAGTCCTACTTGTGCCACTTCCACTTTCCAGTGACGGAGTCTTGTACTGCCAGGATGTCGCCCGTGGTGAAGCGCGGCCGCAAGGCTGATGAGGTAAATGACCCGTCGGAAGGAACGACGCAGCCCAGGGGCAAGACTCGAGT